ACCTTCCCTGTTCCCGGAAATGCAATTTCGAGCAACAACAACCAAAAGAAAAAAAAAAAAAAAAAGTTGGCTCAATACCCTGCTTCGGCTTCGGATTCGGCTGAATGGGTGGGTTAACACCCCAATTGAAGTGGTGGGGACCACCAGAAACGGCCGAGGGGCTGGAGTGATTAATTTATTACAGTTATAAGTTACTTTATATATTGATAACACAGTATGATCTGCCTATTAGGGTACGGAACTGCGCAGACAATCGACAGTATTCAGACTCGAACCCTCGTCTGCCCGTGCTGAATACTGTGCAGCTCCTACCTCTCTGTTTTCTTTGGTGGAGACCATTTATCGATTTATTTTTATTTTTATTTTTTGGGGGCGGGGAGATTTATCGATATATGCGTGTAACGCTTGGCACCACAAGGTCTATGTTAAAATTAAAAAATAAAATAAAAATAAACCAACCCCCCTTTCCTTTGGTCGTCGCCGACGATGGGCTCGGGTTTTTGAGAGAGCGTACGCTCACACTAGATTTTGCTGGGTGCGTGTATCTGTGACCGCAATCACGGCCAGTCGGGGTGTATATGACCGTAATTACGTCCAGAGCTAGCTGGGTCGAAAACCTCCTTCCAGCGTGATTATGCCCTGAGTTACTTGCCACTTTTTTTTTTTTTTTTAACCTTCTTCGGACCTGAGTTACTTCTTTTTTTTCTGTTTTTTTTTTTTCTTTCTTTCTGCACGATGCTTCTTGCCTTCTCTTCTCTTCTCTTCTCTTCTCTTCTCTTCTATTTTATTCTCTTTTATTTTGTTCTCGTCTTTCTACTCGTCTCTCTTCTCGTCTGGTGTCGTTTAAAGCTGGCAAATTGATTGATCTCAATAAAAAATAAAATCCTTCCCGTTAACGAGATCAATATGCATAACGACTGATCTTTTTTCGAAAGGATTTTGTTTTAAATGAGATCCTATCCATATATTTTTTTTCAATAACAAATCAATCGATCGAATGGTGCTAATCACTGCTAATCGGGTCGTTAGATGCCAATCCAATGGTGTGTTAATCACTTCTGATCGGGTCCTTATCCAGATCTTGTGTAGTAAATCAATAGGCAAGAGTAATCAATATCAATCAACAATTAATTAGCACGCATATTGATTGATCTCAATCAATGAACATGCATATTGAATGACCTCATTGAATCCTCTCTTCGTTAATTGAACTCGTACAGCAATCAATCCAATGGTGCTAATTAATCCCCGGTAAATATATATATAAAAAAAAAAACAAGCAAAATCAATCAAGATGTATATTGATCGATCTCAATGAATCCTCTCTTTGTTAACTACTAGTTTAATTTAATTTATTAATTAAATCAATCAATCCAATGGTGCTAATTAATCCCTTTATCGTCGGGATCGTTATCCAGAGGCTGTTCATTAAAATCATTAGGCAAGGCCAATCAACAGGAATACTGCATACTTCGACCTATCTCGATGAACCCTTCCTTTTCTGGGGGGTGGGGTGGGTGGGGTGGGGGGGGGGGGGGGGGGGGGGGGGGGGGGGGGGGGGGGGGGGGGGGGAGGGTATACTGGTCTTGAGCGAAGCTCTGTTCATTATTTAGTATTAATAAAAAAATAAATCCAATCGAACTAATAACTGGTAATTTGGGTCGTTATCCAGATCCGGATTTAATCGCCTCAATAGAATGGGGGAGTTGGATGAACCCTGGCGACCTAAACCCCTACCGGTATTGCTTTGAAATTTAATAATAATTTAGAAATAAATTGAGTAAAAAAATAAATAAATAAAAATTTGCCAATTAGCTAAGCCTACTGTTAACACTACCTGCAGAAGTAATATGCATTTTTTTTTTACAATCTCAAGCTTTTTTCTTTTTTTTTTTTTTAAGGTTGTTTTTTTTTGGCCCGCAGGAGCGGAGCGGGGAGAGGGGGGGGAAGGGTAGGAAATCAAAGCGGATTATCAAAACCGGAGCAGATGCGATGTATGACAATTTGGCAATCTCCACCTTTTTTTCCCCTCCTTTCTCGTTACCCCTTCTTTTCCCCTTTTTGCTTCTTCTCTTTTACCCTACTTTTTCTCTATAAAAAAAAATATGATAAAATTTTGGCCCATTTCTCGATTTCTGCGTGTCAGCCTTGTGCAGGGGCCATTTGCTAATTTACCCTTTACCCTTCTCTCTGTGTATCGTTCCAATTTTGACGTATGTCTCAAAGGACCTTTTTTTTGTCGGGGGGGGGGGCGGAGGGGGGGGGCCGCGGGGGCGGGGAGGGGAAGAAGAACCAATCTCAAGCTTGGTTTGTCAGGGTAATTAAAGGGGGTGGATAAATCAAATCAAAGCGGATAAGCAACAACCACGGCAGCTCAAGGGTGCAGAGAATGTCCGTTTCAAAATTCACCACCCCCCCCTCCTTCCCGCCCCCCACCCCCCTACCAGAAGAACCTCTTAGCACGGGGCCAGAAAGACCCCAACCGATGTATAGCTTCTTCTTTCTCGGTGGTGAAAAAAAAAAAAAGAAAAAAAAAAAGACATCAATTGTTCCCTAACGCAACATTCTTTCACTGTTCAAAAAGAAAAGAAAAGAAAAGAAAAGAAATGAAAAAATGCAGAGCCCAACCGATGGATTCCAGGGGGTGAAAAAATGTACATTGCATACATGCACATTATATGAATCATTTAATTTTAAATTAATGATAAACCTAAGACCCAGGTTCTTACTTTGGCCGGTGTGCGTTCATCATTCCAATAGGATCGATAACAATTTTCGTCACTTTTTTTTTTTTGTTAATTTATTTTTTTAAGGGACGCGGGCCTTGTAACTTTGCGCTTTGGGCCGTTGCGTGTAAGGTAAGATTTTTGGAAAAAAAGGAAAGAGGAAATAAAGCCGTTTCCTTTTTGTCATTCTGCCTTCCAAAAAAGGAATTGTCAAAAAAAAAAAAAAAAGATACAAGAAACTACGCGGAGAACGGTCGATAGATTGATAGATAAAGAGAGAGAGAGAGAGATAGATAGATAGATAAGGAGAAGAGAGAAGGTAATAGATAGATCGATAGATAAGGTAGACAAATAAATAAAAAATATATGTATAAGGAAGATAGATCGATAGATAGATAAGGAAGATAGAAAAGGAAGATAGATAAGGCAGATAGATAGGGAGAGAGAGAGAGAGAGAGAGAGAGAGAGAGAGAGAGAGAGAGAGAGAGAGAGAGAGAGAGAGAGAGAGAGAGAGANAGAGAGAGAGAGAGAGAGAGAGAGAGAGAGAGAGAGAGAGAGATGAGATAGACAATTAGATAGTCAGATTCGGTTGATAGGTAGACCAATAAATAGACAAGGAAGATAGGTAGATAGATAGATAGATAAATAGATCGATAAGGTAGATAAATAGATCAACAGATAAGGTAGATAGATCGATGAATATATAGAAAAAAGGTAGATAAATAGATAGACAGATAAGGTAGATAGATCCATAAATAGATGGGTGGATAGGATGGAGAGCCGTAGTCGCTACGTAGCTGACCGTGCACGAATCAGATATCCGCTCACACTCCAGTACCCGACGCTGGCTGATTATGCCTGTATCTAGCCGGAAACATAATATGCATTCAGTATCAGGGCCTGGCTGATTATCCATCAGACCGGAGAGAGAGAGAGAACGCACACACCGAGACGGGGAGAATGAGAGAGAGAAACAGCGTTTGCGAGAGAGACAGAACAAAGTGTGTGTGTGTGTGTGTGTGTGTGTGTGTGTGTGTGTGTGTGTGTGTGTGTGTGAGAGAGAGAGAGAGAGAGTGCACACACCGAGAGGGGGAGAATGAGAGAGAGAAACAGCGTTTGTGAGAGAGACAGAACAAAGTGTGTGTTTGTGTGTGTGTGTGTGTGTGAGAGAGAGAGAGAGATGTAAAAGTCTCGAAAGCTCAGAACTTTGTGAAAAACATAGTGTCAAAACACACAGTACCTTCAGCCATAACCGAGGCTGGCTGATTATGCCTGTATCTAGCCGGAAACATGGTTAGTATGCATTCATTATCAGGGTGCGTTATGTTCGGTGGAAGACGGTCGTAAGGGATTATCCACTTATGGCGGGACGAGATCGCGGGACGAGGAATCTTACGAAGAGGAGAGGGAGTGGTAGCACCCTGATAATGAATGCATACTAACTATGTTTGCGGCCAGATACAGGCGTAATCAGAGTGCACCCTTCGCTAGAAGAGAGCGCTGGCTAATCGCTTACTCCCGTCTTCCACCGAACATAATGCACCCTCATAATGAATGCATAATAACTATGTTTCCAGCCAGATACAGGCGTAATCAGTGTGCGTTCTGTTCGGGGAAAGACTAAATTTCGGCCGCCGCCAGATCCGGCTTCATCAGTGGGTGCGGCCTCCTAGACAGATAGACAATGTAGATAGATAGATAGATAGATAGATAGATAGATAGATAGATACAGAGAGAGAGAGAGAGAATAGATAGGCAGATATAGATAAGGTAAGATAATGGGTCCATAATAAATAATATAAAAAAAAAGGCAACTAGATAAATCCATGGACTAGAAGAGGAGGGACGATGAGAGACGGACAGACAGACAGACAAACAGGCAGACAGCAAAGAAACAGGGAAGCAAGCAGAAAGAGTGAGACCGAGGAGGGACGTTGGAAATGAAAAGAGAAACGCAAAAAGGGAGGGGGAAAAAAAAAAGAAAAAAAAAAAAAGGGGAGAAATTCAATTTGCCAGAATGAGACCGCAGCTGCTCTCCAAAGAATGCCTCGGAGCACGACTTTAAATTTTAATTTTAAATTAAAAATTGCTTTTTTCTTTGGGGGGAGGGGGGGGGGAAGACGTGGGGGGTTCAAACCCTGTCTTGAAGTTCCCCTAATCGGGGGAGAGCTGTATATATATTTTGCTCTCAAATTTTAACTGGCTTCTGCCATGTCATGGAACACATCTTTTTCATCTTTTTCCTCGTAACTACCACTACTACTAATCATAAGC